TAGATTTCCCCATGTAAAGCACATTGTACAGAGTTGCGGCCTACATCATTTTTTTAGTGAGCTTAGAAGGTTTGCAGGCTGTCTTTAAAGAAAACTGGCTATCCAGTATATTGGCTAGTCATAGGAATTATCATACATATGCAGACAGTGTCATGGTACTCTCTCACTCAGAATCTCTGAGGCAAGCTTCACTCACTATCTGATCTAACAGATCCACACATTTTAGATAATGATACGAAACAACCAATCAAACCACTCATTTCACAAAATAACCAAGTATATGTGAATAACTAATCAAAACCACTCATTTCACAAAATAACCAAGTAAAATCACTCATTTTACACAACTAAATGCAACTAACCAATCAAAACCACTCATTTCACACAACCAATCAAAACCACTCATTTCACACAACTAGCCAATTAAAACCACTCATATTAAACAACTAACCAATCAAAACCACTCATTTCACACAACTAGTCAATCAAAACTATTCATTTCACACAACTAACCAATCAAAACCATCCATTTCAGGCAATTAGCCAATCAAAACCCCTCATTTGAAACAACTACATGCATCTAGCCAATCAATACCACTCATTTCAGACAACTAACCAATCAAAACCACTCATTTGAAACAACTACATTCATCTAACCAATCAAAACCACTCATTTCACACAACTAACCAATCAATACCACTCATTTCACACAACTAACCAATCAAAACCACTCATTTCACACAACTAACCAATGAAAACCCCTCATTTCAGACAACTAACCAATCAAAACCCCTCATTTAAGACAACTAACCAATCAAAACCCCTCATTTCAGACAACTAACCAATCAAAACCCCTCATTTAAGACAACTAACCAATCAAAACCCCTCATTTCAGACAACTAACCAATCAAAACCACTCATTTCACACAACTAACCAATGAAAACCCCTCATTTCAGACAACTAACCAATCAAAACCCCTCATTTCAGACAACTAACCAATCAAAACCACTCATTTCAGACAACTAACCAATCAAAACCACTCATTTCAGACAACTAACCAATCAAAACCCCTCATTTCAGACAACTAACCAATCAAAACCACTCATTTGAAACAACTACATGCATCTAACCAATCAAAACCATTCATATCACAAATGTGTGTGTGTGTGTGTGTCTCACCGCTGCGCTCTGGTTTCTCCTCCTCTTCCTCCTCCTCCTCCTCGTCCTCGTCTGCAGGTTGTGTGTTTCTCGGAGCTGCAGTTTTGAGTCGGTGCAGCGTCAGCGTCTCTCCGTGCTCCTGCAGCGAGTGCTCCTTCAGCTGACTGATGCTCACCGCGGAGAACACACACGACACACACTTATACGGGCGCTCACCTGCAACATACACACACACACGCCATGGTTAACATCCAGGAAAACCTTCAATCTGGAGTCTACTGTTCAACTCAATACAGTGGAGGACACACAGATACAACACATACAGAAACTACACACACACACACACACAGACACACACACACAGCTCTTCACTGACACATTCTGCACGTGTGTGTGTGTGTACATCTCAATGGTGTGGATTTTGAGCATGTGTGTGTGTGTGTGGTGTGTGTGTGTGTGTGTGTGTGTGTCACTGGCGTGTGTCTCGCTAGTATGTGTTTTGTGCCAGTGTGTGTGTGGTGTGTGTGTGTGTCTCACCAGCATGTGTTTTGTGCAAGTGTGGTGTGGTGTGTGTGTGTCTCATCGGTATGTGTTTTGTGCAGGTGTGTGTGTGTGTGTTTCTCACCAGTGTGTATTTTGTGAAGGTGTGTGTGTGTGTGTGTCTCACCAGTGTGTGTTTTGCGCTGGTGTGTGTGTGGTGTGTGTTTGTGTGTCTCTCCGGTGTGTGTTTTATGCAGGTGTATGTGTGTTGTGTGTTTGTGTGTCTCACCTGTATGTGTTTTGTGCCGTTGTGTGAGTGGTGTGTGTGTGGGATTGTGTATCACTGGTGTGTGTTTTATGCAGGTGTGTGTGTGGTGTGTGTTTGTGTGTCTCACCAGTGTGGTTTTGCGCTGGTGTGTGTGTGTTGTGTGTTTGTGTGTCTCACCTGTATGTGTTTTGTGCCGTTGTGTGAGTGGTGTGAGTGTGGGATTGTGTATCACTGGTGTGTGTTTTGTGCAGGTGTGTGTGTCTCACCAGCGTGTGTTTTGTGCAGGTGTGTGTGTCTCACCAGCGTGTGTTTTGTGCAGGTGTGCATGTGTGTCTCACCAGTATGTGTTTTGTGCCGTTGTGTGAGTGGTGTGTGTGTCTCACCAGTGTGTGTTTTGTGCAGGTGTGTGTCTGTGTGTCTCACCAGTATGTGTTTTGTGCAGGTGTGTGTGTGTGTGTCTCACCAGTATGTGTTTTGTGCCGTTGTGTGTGGTGTTTGTGTGTGTGTCTCACCAGCTTGTGTTTTTTGCAGGTGTGTGTGTGTGTCTCACCAGCGTGTGTGTGTGTGTGTGTGTGTGTGGTGTTTGTGTGTGTGTCTCACCAGCGTGTGTGTTGTGCAGGTGTGTGTGTGTGTGTTTCTCACCCGCGTGTGTGTTGTGCAGGTGTGCAGGTGTGCAGGTGTGTGTGTGTGTGTTTGTGTTTCTTACCCGCGTGTGTTTTGTTCATGTGGCTCTTCAAGCGGCTCATGTATGAGGATTTAAAGGGACAGAGCTTGCAGCGGAAGGGTTTCTGATGTCCGTGATGAGACTGAACATGTCGATCCAGACTGAAGACAGAGAAAACACACACACACACACACACACACACACACACACACACACACACACAAGTAAAATTAAAATCATAACTATGAAAGGCTGTACTGATAGTAGCTGTGTTTCCATCCAAAGGTGCAAATAATTAAACACATGCACAAACTGTAATACAGCATGAATCATCAGTGAATAAAGCAGCGTCTCCAGTCAAGGAGATTGTCCTGCTGATCTGCATCCCAATCATCACCAATACTGCAGAAGACCTACTGGAACCAGCATGGAGCCAAGATTCTCACAGAAATCAGTCAAGTTTGGTGATGGAGACATCATGGTTTGGGGTTCATTCAGTATGGAGAGATCTGCAATATCAACAGCCTGAGGTATCAAGACATCTGTGCTGGCCATTACATTACAAACCACAGGAGAGGGACAATTCTCCAGCAGGATAGCGCTCCTGCTCATACTTCAGCCTCCACATCAAAACTCCTAAAAGCAGAGAGTGCTCCAGGATTGGCCAGCCCAGTCACCAGACATCAACATTATTGAGTCGTACGTGTGTCCCACACTGCTAAAAACACTATTAGGACACCTATATCTCACTGAAAAGTGTAAATTGGTTGTTTTTGCGTTATTTCAAGCAAATTCGTACTTCCGGTTTAAAACGAATTTTTGAAGCTGCGTCACGGTCATGAGATAATAGCGTGTATTCCAGCGTGCAGACTGGACAGAGTGTGCCTTAATATGTCTTACAGTGTGATGCATTAATGCATGAGTAAAGCTTGGTTCAAACCAATCAGCGCTCTCTATTGTGCAACTTCATTAATATTCATTACTGTCACAGTGTTTAGACGACAGAGACGCCACGTTGTGTTGGCAAAACAAGCGTGAAGTGTTGCTTTTATAGTTTGCTGCAGTGAAGTTTGCATCTAAGTACAGCCGTGTGCATCTAAGTTTCCGGAAAATGCTGAGGTTTTTTTCTCTCATTCGCCGTGCGGTATCAAACATTGCATGAAAAATACACGCTTAGAGCAGATCCTCGAATCAAATATCTCGTTTGTCGCGAGGGACATGAATGAATTCCCTGAATGAAAGAGCCAAACTGCAGTTAAAGTCCAACATTTAATAATTTGGCAAATAATTCGACTACAGATGTCCATGTAAACACAGTCACATTGTCCGCTGTGTGTTTTGACTCTGAAACTCGTGCGTGCACAAATAGACACTCCCACACCAAGCCTCTTTAGTTCCTCCGACACTCCCCCTAAACAGAGCTGGACACGCCCATTTTTCTGACATTTTCCAAAGTAGAGGTGTGAAAACACCCTGCTGAAATGAGGGGCTTTCATGGCCCTTTAATGCATCAGCCTTTTAGAAGTAATTCTATTTACTTCGTTATGGCAGTTTCACGCCGGATGTTTGAGCCGTACGGCACCTCTGAATCCTGCTGCCATTGGCCAGATCAAGCTGGTCCTCCACCAGGCAGTCCTCTGACAAAAATAACGACTGGACAGCACGGTAACAGCATTAAATAGGACATGAGTAGACTTGAAAATAAACCAATCTCCTGAGTTATTCAGTTATTAGAACAGTAATGTTACACAGAGATCAGGTCTGAATTCATAATAATGTGAATAAGTGAATTGGTAAGCTAAGTATGGCTGTAGTGTATGAGTGTGAATGGATGTTTCCCATTGATGGGATGCAGCTGGAAGGACATCTGCTGTGTAAAACATATGCTGGAATAGTTGGGGGTTCATTCCACTGTGGCGACCCCTGATTAATAAAGGGACTAAGATGAAAAGAAAATGAATGAATGAATGAATGGAAACACAGCCAGTGTTAAACCCTAGAGCGCAGACGGAGACTCACTTGTGTCTGAACGGCGAGGAGAACTGGCAGTACTGGCAGTTGTGTTTGTCGCTGCGGTTGAGCAGCGTGACGGCCG